GCTAAGCCCCAGATCCACGCTTAGCCTCAGCATGGCAGAGAATCCCTGGAACAGAATTTTGATTCCCACGCTGAGCGTGGAACTGAGGCTTAGCGTGGATTGTGCTGACATGTCATTATTCACATAAGACAAAAGCTTTTATGACCTAAAAGTGGGATTTTCGAAGAGAGAAGAAAGGAGGATCATTCTTGGACTTTGTGTGGTGGCTGGAGAGCTCTAGAACCTTCAAGATCAAGCTTCTTCCTTTCTTCATCATTTGTAGAGTTCTACATGTCTATGTGTAGCTAAACTCACCCTTGTTGGGGTTTGATGTAACTAAACCCATTCTCATGTGTAAACTCTAAGCTATCAATCTAAGTTGTTATTCAGTTTTATTGTTCTGTTTCTGTGCATAATGTTTGTTTTGGCTTGATCACCCTTAACTTGAACTTGAGGTTTTTAAGAGATTAAGAAATGATTTTAAACCTTTGACTTGAAATAGAGCAGCTAATGGTGCTTATTGCTAGAGATAGAGTAAATGTCATTGGTCTTTCTTAAGCTCTTGTTTTTAAAGCTGGTTTCTAGGTTAAACTATGCAAGAGATTGATAGTTTAAGCTAGTAACTTAGATGCCAACTTGTAAGAGATTAGGGTTGGTTACTTTTGAGAGTGATTGATAAATTCTGAATAATAACTATTGTGAACTTAGTGATAAGCATGAGAGGAAGGTTTAGTGAAGTCAAACCCCAACAATTTATTAATATTGCATTAGAATCAAGTTTTGCACTCTAAGTGTTTACCAAAATTCCAAAAAGAATTGTTATTGCTTGTTTACATTATTTACTGCAGCAAATCAAACTCTTATTGCTTTTCGGTAGCTTAGTTAGTATAACAAGTGAAATTGTAAAGTGTTGTGCAAGTCCCTTGGGAGACGATACTCATACTTTCATTGAACTACTTATACGATTTGGTACACTTGCCAAACAAGATAACACGCATGTTCAACTAGAAACCCCCGAAAACCTCAAAAATTCCTTCCCAACATGAACCCAATCCAAATTACACGAGTTCGAACCATTATAAAGCATAAACATTATTCGAAAACAACATATTAAGCGATAAAATCCAGTCTTAACCATTAATCCATGGAAATCAGGGAGAAATCCAACCAAAACCCTTTCCACTCAATCTAGCCTTAATCATGCATAAATCATGGAATCAATGTGATATTTCAAACCCATACATACTAGATTAAGTCTTATAAGTAGTACCCTTACCTTAGAAACCTCAGAAATGCAAGGTTTGAACAAAACCCTCAAATTCCAACTCAAACTTCAATCCCCTCTTTCAAGGCTTTAGAGGTTATATCTCTTGAAATTCCAGTTGTGAAGATTGATCCTGACTTGATAAGCTTCTCAAATGTGTCCTCAGCTTCCCTCCTGACCAGAGCTTCTCTCTCTACTTCCTCTCTCTAGAAACTGTCTCTATTTGACAAATGAAACCCTCCGGTCCTAAGTCCCTATATATAGCCATTTTCCAAAATTTTCAAATTTCACCCTTAGCATCTATTCACGTCAAATAGCCTATTCCTTGAAGTATTTCAACTTCTTAAGCTCTAAAACAACCTCAATTTTACTCAGAAAGACCATATTTATCTTATGTTCCTATCCTCCAATGTCCTACCATTCATATTCCTTTTTATGCAATACTCACAACTCACCACCATATGAAAAGCAACATGTATCAACATACAAACACATTACCTTCAAATACATACTCCTGGAATAATGAGTTGCATGCCACAATACTTCACTTAACTAAGATGAGAAGGAAGGTGATCAGTCTTCTTCCCTCTTAGTACCAGTCCAATATAATGGTGTACAATGCATCATTCGCCATATTCATGATACACATGCCTGTACAAACACCTCAAAACGACAATATCTCATCTCATACTACAAAATCACTTCTATGTTCAAACAGCTAATTAAAACCACATAATTATACAACAATGCACAAATATAAGTACATTCCAAATCCACACCCCCAGAATCCAATCCAAATCCATATAAACAAAATACACATTGTGACACCCTTACTACCCCAACACATATATTGTAATAATGTAAATAGACTAAGGAAAAAAAAATTTCAACGTCGGTAAAAGGGTTCACATAAAAACCTTCATAAATATTCTTTAATATCCAAGATAATTGAAAATAGAAAAATTAGAAAATGAAACATAAGAGTTTGCAAATTGTTTTTAAAATAATAAGTACAACTCCAAATCCATATAAAAATCCATGTCCTAGAAATCCTCTGCCCCGATGTCACAATATCAGAGCATACCCATAATTCAACCGTTGGCATTCTAGATGCCACTCATAGCCGGATCTTCCTCACCTAAAACATCCACAATTGCACGGTGAGAAAAGAAAACATCTATTAAGTAAAGTACACAGGGAAAATCCAACACATCATTTCATCATAACTCATTACTTTACAACCATCTCTATATATTCTAATTTTAACAATCATGCATCAACTTCACATAAAAAATTCACAGTCATATCAATCCATTACAATTCTTGCAATTAACACTATCATTTTCACATTCATAATCCACACAAATCTTATAATTAACACTATGTTAAGGCCACGCCACAACTGACATAAGTGATACGGGTTAATTGCCTCACTCATCCCACACCATGCTAGGGGCACGCCCTCCCTATAGCATCACTTACCCAGGGGCTATCTCATCCCTAGTCATTAGTGTGAGGAACCACAATCACATCACAATTCACACAAATCTTACAATTAACCCTATGCCAAGGCCACGCCATATCTGACATAAGTGATACGTGTTAATTGTCTCACTCATCCCACGCCATGTTAGGCGCACGCCCTCCCTGTAGCATCACTTGCCTAGGGGCCATCTCATCCCTGGTCATTAGTGTGAGGAACCACAATCATATCACATCAACATCTCATTTCATGTCAACATACTCACATCATGTTATAAATTTAATATTAAAATAGTAGATATAATGTATATATTTGTACGAAGACAGCACACCACATTCCATGTCTAGATCATCAATTTTACCAAATAATGTAGCAATAATATTTATAAAAATTTAAAACCAGATAGAATCATCAATTTAGTAGAATCTTAACTCAAATAACAAAACCCCCAATTTTCTAAAACCTAACTCATAGGCACTTTTCTACAATTTCGTTCTCTCCCAGATCATCATTCTTACAAATTAAATATATATTTCTAATCCTCAACACATACAGAGGGTAATTTTATAATTATTTCTGTTTGAGGAATTGATGATCCCATTAGATTTTACATGTATTAAGGATTAGAAATATATATTTAATTTGTGAAAATGATGATTTGGGAGAGAAAACAAAATTTATTTCCGACCCGGACAATTTTAGGGGTCTACACCTTCTCTATGGTTGTTGCAGATTCATTGAAATTCACATATGCATTATCAGTTGGACTAGCAATTATTTTTGTTGTCATTTTTGTGGGAATCTCAATCTTCAAGATTATAATTGGAGGCATTGAGATGCCCAGACTCTTCCCGATCATTACAGATATAACATCATTTTTTGAACTATTCACTGTAGTTCATGTGCTTGTCACTGCCTATATTTGCCACTACAATAGTATGGAAATATTTTAGATCTTTGTGTAGGATTCCATTTATGAAAATATTTTATATCTTTGTGTAGATTCCATTTCTTAAGGATTTTTTTTTGTAGTTGTGTAGATTCCACCTTGGTTTTTAATATTTTTTTATGTAAACCATACTTGTGTATCTATAAGTTGGTTATTAATGTTCATTTTGTTTAATCTAACAAAATGTTTGTGTGTCTATGTGATGGAAATTCTTGAAGAAATGGATGGATGATTTCTTCTTGAAATTGCTCCAAGTCCCTTGGATCTTCCTTGAGTTGATTCTGGACGGGAGAAGGTCCAGAGGTGAGGTTAAGACGCAAAGAAAGGAAGGAGGTAAACACCTAAGCCAAGGGAGAAAATTAGGATTGCTCACAAGGTGCCTAACCTAGAAACCTTCTAGGATCCCTAAATTTTAGGCGTCAAAAAGACTTTTGATGGAGAGAATTTGGCTAAAGCAAATTCTTTGAATATCATATATCAAAAGCGAATACAAATGAAGGAGGGAAACCCAATTTATAGGCCAAGGAAGCATCACAAATGGCGTCAATGTACATGCCTCCAATTGGTGTCGAAAATTTGAATTTCAAATGGTATTTAAAGTTCAAATTTCATGGCAGCCACATGTATACTCCCATGTGCAGATCCCATTTGATTTAAGTTTCATTTAGGGTTAATTTGATGTTGCTAAGTGTGGATCATGTGCAGCCATCCTTAGGTGATCACATGTGCACCAAATGTAGCTCAAATTACTCATAAATGTGACTTAATTTAGCTAACTTTGCCTAATTGAGTTTTTCTTCTTAAAACCTAATCTAATGCCATAAATACATTGGTCAACCTATCACAAATACTAAGAAATAATAAAAGAAGTAAAATGATTCCAAAATTGGGTACCAAAATATCCAAGGCCCATTAAGTAAAAAAAGAAAGCCCATTAAGCCTAAGGCCAAAAAAGTCCTAATCTATGTGGCCCAAATACAAGACCAAAATATGTGAAACCTATACCAATTGGGCCCATTAAGCCCTGAAATAGTCAAATCATCATGAATCTTCCTGGCCATGGCTCTGGTGGTTGGACCCTTGGTCCATGCTCCTCCATCATCTAAGTTGGTTATTAATTTTCATGAAAATGTTAAATGGTTAATCTAACAAACTTTTTGTGTGTCTATGTGCACATACACACACATGCACACATGCACACACTATAAGTTGATGTTCATGAAAATGTAAAGAGGTCATACACACACTTGTATCCAAGTACACACACACTCCCACGTACACACAGAGGCACACATGTTGAGAGGTCAATCTTGTAAAATGTGTGGACATTTCTGTGTGTGCACATGCACATGCACACACACAGACATATATGCAAAATGGTTTACATGATTGTAGTTAGCTTTCTAGATAGTCTGATGGTTACATTGCATGCACACTTTATTTGCAGTTCATAGCATAGACAATGAACTTGAGGACTCCTCTCAGATGCATAGCGTTGTGCGTACTTCTCTTGGTCTATGTGCTTCAGTGTACTTGCTGACAAGCTTTTTTGGGATCCTCCTATTTGGTGAAGGAACTCTTGATGATGTTCTTGCCAATTTTGATACTGATCTTGGAATTCCTTTTGGTTCTGTTCTCAATGATGTTGTTAGATTTAGCTATGCTTCACATATTGGGCTTGTATTTCCAGTGATCTTCTATTCAGTGCGTGTCAACCTAGATGGTCTCATATTTTCATCGTCTAGGCCTTTGGCTCAAGATAACATCAGATTTGCATTAATAACTGTCTCACTTATTGGTGTTATCTTTTTGGGAGCAAATTTCATACCCAACATTTGGGATATCTTCCAGTTTATTGGAGCAACAACAGCTGTTTGCGTAGGATTCATATTTCCAGCTGCCATTGCTCTTCAGTGAGTTTGGTCGCTGAATTCTTTTTGTTCAGCAGTGAATTTGATTTTCTGATACGTTTTTGGGTGCTTTAGGTTAGAGATCCTATATTGAATAGTAAAATAATCATAATCATATATATAAATAAAAAATAATTCTCATTTTATAAGTTGATTTTTTAAGATTAATTAAGTCTAAATTCACTTTTTTTAAAGATAGTATCATAAGCTATCCTTATAATTATTAATTGTTATTGAATTTATTAAGTGATCTATTTGCAGATGTCCTATCTTATAAAGGGTTAAATTCACTGTCTTAAGATTTTCATATAAGTATCCCCTAGTGGAGTGGAGTGGAGTGGAGAAAGAAAATAGAAATGAATATTTGATCAATTTACTTGATTGTAGGAATTTGTTCTTTAACTTGCATGAAGAGGAAATAACTAGCTAGGGAAGATAGAACTAACCTAGTTTGTATGATAGTAATAACAGATTCTGAATTGTGAGAATCCTTGTCCAAACCCAAAATTTTTCGATCTTACGACCTATGGTTTAGACATCTTGTTAAAGATCTCATCAATTAAGGAATGCCCGGACACCAGACTAATTCTTAATTAATGGTTTTGAAAATAGGTTCTTGGAGTCGCCATCGATGTTTTACTCAAAACATTGGAAAAAGAAAAGGTTTTTAAAAGTCCAATAATGGCCTTGATAACCAGAATTGGGTTCGGGGGTCGGTTACGTGTAGGGAAGGTATTAAGCACCCCTACAACGCCCTAAATCGGTACCCTATGATGAAGATAACGTAATAAGAATTAATAGTTTAAATATTTAATCCCCTTTTATTAGTGACTATTTACATGCTTGAAATTTAAATTAAACAATTAACCCTAAAATATCTACATGATTGCTTTTATTATAACAATATTTATCAAAGATAAGAAATAAAAGAGAGACAAGAAGATTGATTGAAATACCTCGTAGCAAGCTTTGTTAGATCTTCTAATATGGGAATTCTAGGTGCTTTATGACAACCTTTCACACTACACAAATGCCTCACAAATCTCACGAAATACAATAGGAGGGAGAGAGAGAGAAATTTCGAGCTCTGAGGAGTCATGGACGAAATTTTTGGGGTCCTCAAAAATGAGCCCAAGCTGTCTATTTATAGACTTCAGAAAGGGTCCAAAACGGCCCGTTCCAAAATCGGAACGACCCGTTCTGGATATGGTCGTTACGTGTAAATTTTGTAACGGGACCGGCCTGTTCCGAAATTGGAACGGCCCGTTCCAGAGATAAGATTAACACGTCTTTTGGTATACTGGAATGGCCGTTCCAGTTTGGGAACGGTCCGTTCCAGTAAAGGTTTTAACCCTCTTTTTATAAGCTTGGAAAGGCCCGTTCCAATCTTGGAACGACCCGCTCCGATTTAGGAACAGCCCGTTCCAATTTAGGGTTTTTGGCCCTTTTAGAAACTTTGAACGGCCCGTTCCAAATTGGGAACGGCCCGTTCCGGGTTTGGAACAGCCCGTTCCAGTCTTCTAAAATCAGCTTGTTTGGGCGTTTGGGTCCTCTAAAATCCTGTCTCGTTGTTTGCATGCCCCCCGGACGAAATTGGGTGTCTACAGCTGCCCCTCTTTACTTGTCCTTTGGTATAGCTGTGTTGCTTTTCTAAAGGCAAGTAAAGACGTAGACAATTTCGTCCGGGTCTTCTTCTCGTCTCTGTGTTGATGCTTCTACGTTGCTTCCCTTGGATAGGTATATTTGCTCGTATCATTACCTTTTAGAGCAGCTGAGTATTGATTGCGTACTCTATTGGGTAACAAGGTTGACAAACTGTACACCTGATCTTCAGTCTTCGAGTAGAAGCTCCATTGTTTCTCTTGTGATAACGTGGTGAAAACTCAGATCTTCACTCTTATTTTGACAATAGATACCTTCACATTATTTCCTTCGGATAGACGGTGTTCCCTATATCCTTGCCCCTTGGAGCAACTGAGTGTTGGGTTGTATGCTCTGTTGGGTGTCAAGGATGGTAAACCGAAACATCTAGGCTTCAAGATCCATGAGAATGCCCCAAGTCTCTTTCTGTGTCCGAATCTTCTCTTTTACTTCAGCAGTGTAGATGCCCCCACACCATTTCTTTCAGGTAGATGGTGTTTACCTGTATCCAGTACAAGGAAAATGATAAATTGCGACTTATCTTAATGCCATATAGGTCAAGAGGAAAGAGAGGAAGATGATATATACATATATTTTTTTGCAGAAGTTTTGTTAGAAAGGATTTTTTTTTCAAAAATGATTTTAGAAGAATGGCTGGTCGAGGTAGGCTAGTGGTTTAGGCTGATGTGCAAGCACATTCAAAGTGAGGAAATCATTTTCCACGTTGGCTTATTATTTCCTTCAAAGTTAAGCGATGACTTGGGATTGCATAGATATGATTGTGGTTCCTCACACTAATGACCAGGGATGAGATGGCCCCTAGGCAAGTGATGCTACAGGGAGGGCGTGCGCCTAACATGGCGTGGGATGAGTGAGACAATTAACACGTATCACTTATGTCAGATATGGCGTGGCCTTGGCATAGGGTTAATTGTAAGATTTGTGTGAATTGTGATGTGATTGTGGTTCCTCACACTAATGACTAGGGATGAGATAGCCCCTGGGTAAGTGATGCTATAGGGAGGGCGTGCCCCTAGCATGGTGTGGGATGAGTGAGGCAATTAACCCGTATCACTTATGTCAGTTGTGGCGTGGCCTTAACATAGTGTTAATTATAAGATTTGTGTGGATTATGAATGTGAAAATGATAGTGTTAATTGCAAGAATTGTAATGGATTGATATGACTGTGAATTTTTTATGTGAAGTTGATGCATGATTGTTAAAATTAGAATATATAGAGATGGTTGTAAAGTAATGAGTTATGATGAAATGATGTGTTGGATTTTCCCTGTGTACTTTACTTAATAGATGTTTTCTTTTCTCACCGTGCAATTGTGGATGTTTTAGGTGAGGAAGATCCGGCTATGAGTGGCATCTAGAATGCCAACGGTTGAATTATGGGTATGCTCTGATATTGTGACATCGGGGCAGAGGATTTCTAGGACATGGATTTTTATATGGATTTGGAGTTGTACTTATTATTTTAAAAACAATTTGCAAACTCTTATGTTTCATTTTCTAATTTTTCTATTTTCAATTATCTTGGATATTAAAGAATATTTATGAAGGTTTTTATGTGAACCCTTTTACCGACGTTGAAATTTTTTTTTCCTTAGTCTATTTACATTATTACAATATATGTGTTGGGGTAGTAAGGGTGTCACAATGTGTATTTTGTTTATATGGATTTGGATTGGATTCTGGGGGTGTGGATTTGGAATGTACTTATATTTGTGCATTGTTGTATAATTATGTGGTTTTAATTAGCTGTTTGAACATAGAAGTGATTTTGTAGTATGAGATGAGATATTGTCGTTTTGAGGTGTTTGTACAGGCATGTGTATCATGAATATGGCGAATGATGCATTGTACACCATTATATTGGACTGGTACTAAGAGGGAAGAAGACTGATCACCTTCCTTCTCATCTTAGTTAAGTGAAGTATTGTGGCATGCAACTCATTATTCCAGGAGTATGTATTTGAAGGTAATGTGTTTGTATGTTGATACATGTTGCTTTTCATATGGTGGTGAGTTGTGAGTATTGCATAAAAAGGAATATGAATGGTAGGACATTGGAGGATAGGAACATAAGATAAATATGGTCTTTCTGAGTAAAATTGAGGTTGTTTTAGAGCTTAAGAAGTTGAAATACTTCAAGGAATAGGCTATTTGACGTGAATAGATGCTAAGGGTGAAATTTGAAAATTTTGGAAAATGGCTATATATAGGGACTTAGGACCGGAGGGTTTCATTTGTCAAATAGAGACAGTTTCTAGAGAGAGGAAGTAGAGAGAGAAGCTCTGGTCAGGAGGGAAGCTGAGGACACATTTGAGAAGCTTATCAAGTCAGGATCAATCTTCACAACTGGAATTTCAAGAGATATAACCTCTAAAGCCTTGAAAGAGGGGATTGAAGTTTGAGTTGGAATTTGAGGGTTTTGTTCAAACCTTGCATTTCTGAGGTTTCTAAGGTAAGGGTACTACTTATAAGACTTAATCTAGTATGTATGGGTTTGAAATATCACATTGATTCCATGATTTATGCATGATTAAGGCTAGATTGAGTGGAAAGGGTTTTGGTTGGATTTCTCCCTGATTTCCATGGATTAATGGTTAAGACTGGATTTTATCGCTTAATATGTTGTTTTCGAATAATGTTTATGCTTTATAATGGTTCGAACTCGTGTAATTTGGATTGGGTTCATGTTGGGAAGGAATTTTTGAGGTTTTCGGGGGTTTCTAGTTGAACATGCGTGTTATCTTGTTTGGCAAGTGTACCAAATCGTATAAGTAGTTCAATGAAAGTATGAGTATCGTCTCCCAAGGGACTTGCACAACACTTTACAATTTCACTTGTTATACTAACTAAGCTACCGAAAAGCAATAAGAGTTTGATTTGCTGCAGTAAATAATGTAAACAAGCAATAACAATTCTTTTTGGAATTTTGGTAAACACTTAGAGTGCAAAACTTGATTCTAATGCAATATTAATAAATTGTTGGGGTTTGACTTCACTAAACCTTCCTCTCATGCTTATCACTAAGTTCACAATAGTTATTATTCAGAATTTATCAATCACTCTCAAAAGTAACCAACCCTAATCTCTTACAAGTTGG